AAATGCCACAGTAGTAACGGAAAGTTCCCCACCAGGCCCTGGCTGTGGGAGGAGGTGGGTGCAGGAATGTGCCAGTGCAGGCAGCATTGCTATCTCATGGCTCACTGGGAGTAGCAGGAGAGAACAGGCATTAAAAAAAGCAGATAAAAGGGCAAAGAAAGACATAGGCTCCATACCTACGGCAGTGGGCTTAGGCACAGACACGCAACAGCCCTGAATAATAGCAGTACAAACTTAGGAAGATGTATTTAGGGATGTGTGCTGTCTTAGGAGGGGAAAATATGACCTGGGTTTTTTATGATCAGATCAAGTGCAACATTCCAATGTGGTTGTTCGCCCTTGCCATGCCTGTAGGGAGGACATACCAGGACCCAATTCCTCTGATGATTGAACATATTCTTCTCATTTCCAGCCTACATTTATTCATTACCAGGCAGCACAGGACTACCAGCTCTTATCTGTTATGAAAACCAACGACCTTACAAAGTCATCACATTAGTCCACCACTGTCCACCTTCAGTAAATAAATCTATGTTGCCTTGCCCATTTCTCTTTGCCATCATGTCTGCTATTATTCTTTCTTGCTAAATTTTCCCCAAGGTCCTGTATTTTACTTGGATCAGACTTCGACAATTTTTCCTCTTTTTAAAAGCTGAAGAATTTTTCCTTTTCTTAAATTGTGTTGTGTTGCTCATGCAGGGATGCTGTTACACAGACAGATATAAAGTACTCTTGGATGTCTGAGTCAGAAATTGGAATATTCCAGCTGAAAGGTGTCTATAACGATCATTTAGCCCAAATCATTGTCGCATTATGACCTTGATGATTTGTTCCACTTGGATGAGGTAATTTCTGTCTCCATGCATTCATTTCCTCTGTGTACATTTCCACTACATATTATACATTCATTTGTGTCCTGCCTCTCCCCCTTTCATCACCTCTCCCCCTCCTCTCCTTCCTCTCCTGCTATGTATGCCTGAAGAATATTTTGCTATTTGTTTTAATTTCCTTTGTAAGATCTACCTTAGCTTTACTTCTGGCACATTTCCCTTCATGCCTACACTTCCTAACTTCTAAGATGTAGTTTTCTTTGATTAATCCTTTTTTCCATTCCTTCCACTCCCTCTGCTTATTCCTAATATCCACTTTGAAGTGGTTATTCACCAAGTCTGGACCTATTCCTTGCAGAGTTTTATCCCTCTGTGTTCAAGTCCCAAATACTTTTTATAGCCCCTGCGTAAATTCCAAGCCTGCCCAACATCCAAAACTTTATAAGTTGGCAAAAATCAGAAAGCAAAATACGTTAATTGCTGCTGTGTACCAACTTCCAGAGCACTGGGCTTCCTACTGGGTTCATGTTCTCCATCCAAATGAGATATTCCAAAAAGTTTTTTCTAAAAGATCATGGCAAGACCACCGATGGCAGGAGAAATTTCTCTTGACCTCCAGCCACAGCAGCAGTGCCAAGAGAAGGCAGAAAGGTCATTAGCTGTTCTCATAGTATAAGAATTGTTACAGTAGATTAAAAATTAGCATGAAGAAATGAAGCACACACATATATTTTTAAAGCCTTTGTCAGGCAGCCAAAGTGAAAGCAGATTTCACCAGACCACAAAGAATGAAATGAGTGTATTAGGCCTTGTATGGCTTGAGCTTATTTCCTTGCTAAATTCCAAGTTTCAGGTCTCTCCCACTGAGGCAGAAGGGCTGCTCAAGAAAACTCCCCAAATATCTTATAATAGCAGAGGGAATTTTTTCCCCCTATTTTTCACGGTACAGGTTTTCCCAGGCGGTTAAATAAAACGAGATAACATTTCCAGAAAACGTGGTTGTGATTATAGTCCTTGTTCCTACCACATGTGTAAATATTGCTTGGTTTGGGAGGGTGTTTTGAGGGTTTAACGAGGGAGTCTCCTGATGATCCATGGGCAGCAGCTCCCCTGGGCAGCCCCTGCTGTTTCCATGGGGGATTTGTCAGATGTCTCTTGGAATAAAGGCATGGCATGCACGGGTGGGAGCCCAAGCCTCATGTGACATCTACCCCACACAGAGCAGCTGGGAAAAGTCTTTTTAGTCACCGTGTTGAAAAGTCTTTTCTGAAATGCCAAACCCCATATTGTCGTTTTAAATGGCTTGTTCACTTTCAGGGAACATCCTGGGGTTTGGATGGTTGGGAGCAGGAAAAAAAAAACAAAAACAAGTGTCATTGTTTGGAAAAGAGAAAATTGACTGGAAGCAAAGGAAATGGCAAGGAAGACGTGGGAGGGACTCAGAGGAAAAAAAACAAATGGGATGTGAGCATGGATGTGGGGATGGATGTGGGGCTGGTCAGAGAATGGATGTGGGGACAGACTGAAGAAGAACACGAAGATGGACGTGAGGATGGACTGGGGATGGACATGGACATGTGAATGGACTAAGAATGGGTATGGACATGGGGATTGCTGTGTGGATGGCCATAGACATGGGGACGGCCGTGTGGATGGCCATGGACATGGGGATTGCCATGTGGATGGCCATGGACATAGGGATGGCCGTGTGGATGGCCATAGACATAGGGATGGCAGTGTGGATGGCCATAGACATGGGGATGGCCGTGTGGATGGCCATAGACATGGGGATGGCCGTGGGGATGGCCATGGACATGGGGACGGCCGTGTGCACTCCTGCCCC